TAATTATTCTTGTCGACGAGAGAGAGAGAGAGAGTCATTAAATTGTTTCGTTGGCGAACCGACGCCTTTCCGTACCAACAGCCAAGGGCAATCACCAGTCGCGAGTGCATCTCGAATGACAATCAGCTCTACTGTTGTTCCCAGTTCGCGTCCTGTTCGTCTCTCTAGCCGTTCATTAAGTTTCCTTGCGCGTCTTTCCGCCGATGTTAAATATTTATAGCCGAACGTCGACAATCGATTTCGGACGCCGCTGCCAACTCCGAGTATCCGGCATCGGGAAGTCTATATTTATGGAGAATATCCTGACATATAAGTCGGTGGAACGTGCTGGAATCGGCAAAGCGATAAATTATTGCGACAACTTGTAGCGTAGGTCAAATCATCTCCTCTACGTCTACGTACACTCGAGAACTCGTATAAATCATCCGAGATAAGATGCGCTTTTTTTTCTTTAATCCCTCAGATACCTCTACCTCAACGGTCATTCACCTTGCATGGGAGTAAAAAAATCGAAAAGACTTCTGCCCATTTTTGTTTGTTTATAAATAATATAAAATAATAAAATTACGCGAGAGAAAATACGTTTATTTTCAATCCTTAGACATGTTCGAAGCAAACCTTTCTGGGTGGTGGATACTACGCTCACCTCGCTCCAGATGTAGCACTGTTGACAGTGTTTACACATGACGTTATGAGAAAGTATCGAAGTAACGAATGCACTTCGTATGAATATTCAATAACTCTGCATATCGCTCGGCGATATCAGCGTTTACCTTCGTTTACGTACAGCATCGCGAACGGTATAAAATTTCTATATGCGAAATATTCGTATTGAAATAGAAAATATTCTCTTGAACGTGACATTAATTGATATCGATCGATCTAGATAGATCTCGCGTTGGAAAGCGTTTGATCTATGAAGGCGCGAGCTACGTCGGGGAACGGCGCGATTTGACGCCAATTGATCAGGCCTGGCGGCAATTAGGGTCGGGCGAATGTTGGCATAAATTCCTATTAAAGGGTCGCTAGACGGTTCACAAGTAATTCTCACGCGTCCTTGTTGCCTTCTAATTCTACATCGCTTCGCGTCCACGCAAATCGCATCGAGTGTTCGACGAGAGAGAGATCCTCCGTTAGTCGAAACAATTGAATCATAACGCGAGCCGATCATAGGATTTTCATATGGTGCTCGATGGTAGCACCGCTACAGCTTTTCATCATACGAACGTGATCTCCGCCTCGTTAGTTCCGTATGCGGTAAAATTTCCAATTAAAATTCGAATTTCAGAGTGGCTCAGCAACAGCGAACTCTCCGAGCCGGCGTAATGAAAAATTATTATCGACCACCCGTTGCACGGACTCGGACCGGTGATACGCGTTTGGCGCGGAGCGAAGGAGGGATCGGTATAAATAAAAAGTCGCGAGTGAATAACCGTGCGATGCGGAGGTCGTTTGTGTAAATTGTACGTATACCTCGCCCCGCTCTTACCAATCTCTCCCTCTCCCTCTCCGTCTCCTTCTCTCGCTGTATCTCATCGACCGTAGTCTCTGGCACTCTTTTGCTCTTTTTCTCGACCGACAGAGGCAGCTCACCGACTGCTTAACGCACGCATAAATAACACGCGCGAAATCGCGCCGCCAGGATTCACGTAATGAATACGCCACGAGCCAAACTCACTTTGACCCTCGGAACTTGAAAGTCTGCTAAAGAGAGAGAGAGAGAGAGAGAGAGAGAGAGAG